AGGATACATGTGATTGGATGGAAGGTCAGCCTGGGTAATATAGAATCATCTCCTCCTTTCAAGAGCCTTCATTTAAACTTACAAAATCTTTACCATGTCCGGTGCCATTAGCAGTTCCCACAGATTAGGGTTAGTGTCTTTGAGGGATGTTTTTCAGCCTGTCACATCAAGGTTATACATCGCAGTATTATTGGCCATAATTCAAGATTGGAAACAACCCAAATATCCATCAGTGGAAACACAAATAAATTATGCTGTACTCATAAAATGGAACATCATGTATATTCTGATAAGGAAGGCTTGCCAAGATGATGTGTTAGGCAAAAATTACAAGTTACTGGACATCAGTGATGTATGCTACCCCTGGTGTAAAATTACAGACCTCCTGTTTATGTACATTCACTTATACTGCAATTGAATATGTATATTGATATTGCTGGAAAGATACTCGAGACATTAGTGACAGTGTTTGTCTGTTGGAAAGGGAACTGGAAAGCTGGATGGTTGAGGGCAAGAGTGGAAAGCAGTTCTTATTTTTTACTCTGCTTTCTTTAGAATAAACGTTTACATTTTAAGCCATGTGAATTTGTTACTTAAAAGCAAAGGATCTGAAAACCTTAATAAAAAATCAGTGCATATTCACCCTGAGGCATTGCTGCTGGGAGTCCTGACTGCCTGTTGCTGTCCTGTGTGCAGTGATCCCTACCACACAGCAGGGTCCTTCACACAGGGCTCCTGCCTGCTCAGCCTCTGCAGCCCTGCTCTGGCCTGCTCTGGTAGCTGTGCAGAAGGCTCCAGGAGCAGCCTTCTGGTAGACCAGTTACTTTCTCCATCGTCTATTTGATTCCTGTTGACACAGCAACCAGTGAGAGGAAGGCTGTCCTCTTGCTGTCCCCTCATCCCTAATTCTCTTCTCCCCCTGCTCTGATCAGCAGATCCACTGCATGGCTAGGCTCTTTATCAGCAATGCGGTATCCCCTCCCTCACTCTGGAGAGAAGCCAACCTCCCAATCAGGAGTGAGTGGACAAGTATGGACCAGGACCCCTGCCTGGAGGGGGCCCTGAGAGTCCAAGGGCCATGGATCCACACTGTCTCTACCAGCCTGGAGGCTGTCATGGGGAACAGCTCACATAGAATACGCTTTTCTCGATAACTGCTTTGTGTGGCACATCCTTCCTGGTACACAGGTCTAGTATCTCACACCTTGACTACCAGAAACACAGGTGGAACTGTGTGAGAAGCATGCAAAAGCACCTTCCATAGTCCAAGCAGACATGAATAGGTTTATTCTTTAAATCTGCTTTCTTTAGTTTAGAAGAGAGAAGGAGCTCCTACTTTGGAGTAGGAAACCTGGTTTCCACTGGGACATGACTCAAAGCAGCAAATTAGAATTGGGAAGAGGTGAATGCAAATGCAAACAGTTCCTATGAAAGCAGTGTGAGAGTTACAACTCCAACTCCCTAAAAAAGGAAAGCACAGAAGAATATTTCCCAAGTAGCGATGATAACAATAAAACCCAACCTAGAAACAAATACATCCTTTCTTCTGAGGCCATTGCTTTAATTTTGCAAGAGATAGTTTTTCTCCACTTTGACTTTCAGTTTTCAAATATAAATGTGTCATGCTTAAGAAGACAAAGAGATGTGTGACACATGAGGAGGTATCTCTATTCCCATGTATTTATATTTCTTTTCATGAAAAGTTGAGGTAAATATCTTTTATCTTCAGTAATCTGTTCCATCTGGGGTATTGATACTAGTCCCTGTGACTGGCTTTCTGAGATATTGACCAGACCCCTGAAAATGGCACCAAACTATGCAAATGTGCACCTTGGTTTTCTTGTACCACTTGCTACAATTGGAAAGGACCTTCCTTCAAGGGTGTCTTCAGGCTCCTATGTCTAGATTCTTAGCTCTAGCAGAGCAGTATTTACTTCACAGAACCTACCTAGTTCACCCTCTTTGTATGACCAAACATTGGTTCCATACTTCTCACAAGTTTCAGTAATTTTCATGGCAGGTCCTGAGTCTACATCATGTTTTCTCTGAGATTAATGCACTGTAACCTAATGCTCATCGTATGAATGCATGAATGATTGTTGACTGAAGTAAATATTTAAGTCTGCATGGCTCCTAACTAAGCATTAGTGTTTTACTAACTGTGTCTTCAGGCACAGATGATTGACCTACGGGAACCAAGACCCAGGGAAGCCAGGCATCAGCTCCATTGCTCATGGATGGAAGAAACCAAAGGAAGTTCAAATGGTGCCAGTTGAAGCTGAAGCTGTGCACAACTGGCCATGGCAGTCATATTGAACTGTGTTCAGGATGGCGGAGCAGATGTTGCTCTGGGATGACCAGTCAGAAGGGGACAACACTCAGGAGGATGTGCAAAAACCCATGGATTTCAAAGTGTAGCAGGTGTGGTTTCATGAGCATCCTAGCTGCCTAAGACCTCTGTCCCATAGACTTCTGATCCACTGTTTCAAGCCAAGTAACCAATTTTGGACCACCTGGTACTGGAAGAGAAAGCAATCAGATTAATTTTATGAGAATACTTGGAAACCTGGGTGGCAGTTCTGCTTGGTTTTATAGTAGAGTTTTAGCCAGGGTCAAAAACTTCAAGGCCTGACATCCCTAGACAGGCCTCTCTTTCTTGCTTTGATGGGATCATCAAGAAGTAAGGTGTGGGTTTGTTGAAAGCCAGAACACTTCCATGGCTTTCTTTACCATCGTCAGGAGCTGTGGTCTCTGTGGTAGGTATGGGTAGGCAGTTGAGAGGGAGGCTGTACTGCAGGGCTGTTTGCACTTGCACACCCAAGTTGCCTTCTGATGGGAGGAAGTGGGAGGTAGGGTGGCTAAGAGGCTGGAAGGCTCAAAGAGAAAGCAGACCAGAGAAGACTTGGTGGCCCTGGAGATGTTTGTGGCTTGTGGTTTTAGTCATTCCTACTTTTCCTGTTTCTTGCCTCCATCTATGGGACTCAGGTGGGTGTCTTGTCCTTGGATATTATTGATGATATTTTGTGCAAATTCCACTGAGTAAGTTGAGTTTTTCTTTCCTGCAACCCCAAAGAAAACTGGCAAAGCATAAATTCCTTTGGGGATGCTTTTTATGCAAATGTAAAATATGTACATACTGTGATCTGAAGCCAATGCTTAGGACATTGAGGAAGGACAACTACCATGTTTATGCAAATGCAAAATTATGACTGCAGTATTGCAAACTGCCCCATGCTAAGTAAGGAAAGGTAAGGCAGTGAGAAGGTTTGCCTTGTGTTTTGAAGTTCATCATTGATTTGCTGTGGAGTTTTGTTATTAAGATTTATGAGAATTTAAAAAAAATGGTGCATGGGGAAGACACCACTAACTATGCAGCTTTACTGAGAGAGTTACAAGGAATATATGTGCAGTGCTTAATAATAAGGCTAGTTCTTATTAGATGCTCTATAAAGAATGACTTATCACTGTGACTCTAAGTGTTTAAGCAGTGAATTCATTGATCAATTGTGACTGTCATAGCAAATGTTAGAGTGAAAGCAAAAACATGTTTGCATGAATGGACTCAGCTGAAATTGACAAATGTTGATTTGTCAATTGCTGTGTGTGTGTAGACATGAGTAGGTTAGGAATGAATGAGGAAACTATCACCAAGAGTGAGGCTATCAAGGAATTAACCTACAAGACATACTTTGTACCACATAGAAAATTTATGAGTAACCTTGTGATAGCTGACAAAGAGCACTGACAGACAGAAATTTCCACATGTTGGATGCTAACCCTGGATGCTACAGGATCTAGTTGCTTTGATGAAGATAAGTGGAGCAGATAAGTTCACCTCCTAATACCATCAGGATTTACAGACTTGAAAGTCAGAATCCTATATAAGCTGGAATGATTAAGCATAGTGTTGTGCCAGGTGCTTTTCTTTGGGCTTCATTGTGTAATAGATTCACTTGGAGATCCAAGTCTTGCTGAAATGTAAGGACTGGGGTGAGGCTCAAGATCCTTCTTCCTGTCACCTGATGCCAGGTGCAGCTGGTCCCTGGACTCCAACTTTGTATACTGAGATCCCATGTTACAGAAAGGGAAATCACTAGAAAAACAGAACTATTCATCTAGTTTTCCCACTTCAGCAGGGCAGTGTTTACAGCAAGATGTTAAAATGGAATAGATTTAAGGTCTGTTCCAATGTATCCCTCAAATTTACTTGTGCAAAATCTTAGATACGTAAAGACTTGGAGCTTTGAACCTCTAGCCATCTGCCTAGTGTCTCACATGGTGGCCTGGTAGGGTGATGTTTCCTCTCTCTGCCTCTGTGTACCTGCCTGCAGGCCCCCCTCAGTAATGCCTGTGCCATCGGTAGTAAGTGAATGTGATCCGGGGCACTGACAGGAAGCAGCCTATAAAATTATGTCACACAGGGTCTGTACTCCTTTCAACTGTGACAGTTCATTGTCATTTAGCAGAAATTGCTAGTTATGAATATTTAACAAATTTGCAATTAGCTCATCTACCAACATGATTACTGAGATGGAAGAAACCATTGACTGAAAGCTTCTAGGATTACATACACAGTACCTTTTTGATTATGTGCGCTGCCACAGCTGTTTCTGTTTTTGTCCTTTCCTCTGGCACCATTGTTACTAGTTTTTATAAAGCACGTGCCACGCCTCCCTGCACTAAGGAGGTAGATGGAGGCATTTTTCAGATTCTGGATGGGAAATTCAGCACTAAACTTCAGAGGAGATAGAATTGGATGCAGGGTTGATGACCAGCAAGACTGTCTGGAAACTTGCTCTAATTCCTCATCAATTTCATTATGGTCCAAATCACCAAACTGTCAAAGTTTGTTTCTTTTTCCCCAAAAGCCATCATGTATTATGTACTTGATTCATTTTAATTAAGTTATAATGCAGAGTAACCAAAACTAAACATACAGAGGAGAAATTTAAAGCCAGAAAACTTTGCAACTTGCCATGTGACTGCGTACTTAGTCTTTTCACTTCTTTGTGCTCCAAATTCTGAAAACTGATGTCAACGGTCATCACTTCCTGGTATTTAATTATTAAGGTCTTACGTTGTTTGGCTATTCTGTTAGAATTGGCGCCTTAGTATTCCACTGAAAAAATAAAAGAAAAAAAAATTACAGTAGTTAAAGCATAATACAGTCAATGGCAGGATAGAAAAGAGAATCATCATTTTTTTTATTTCATAAAAGCTTTTACCTCTGTTCATGAAAACAACTCCTAGCAGCAACATGAAAATATTTGTGCTCGACTGGGGAAACAAAAGAGAAATATTGAATTACTCAAAACAGACAGTAGCTATCTCTATGCTTTGACTATTTATCAGTTTTGCTGTGAAAGGGTTGTTATTTTTTTCTAAGTCATTTCAAACTGTCATCAAGATGGGGCAGGTCACATTATCTTTGAGCTCTTTGCAGCACTGTACTATCTTCTTTTTTGATAGATTGTGTGCCCTGTTTTTCATAGTGTTTAAAAAATGATCTTGATTATTTCTTGCATCTAGCTTGAATTTCTAAAAAGCTAGTATTTCAGAAGTATAAATGAATATCAGGAATATCCTGAGTTCCCCAAAGCTGCTGATCCTCAGGTTTTACCTTGTGTAAGAGTGGAGGGCTTTAATGTTTACAAAATGCTTCCACACACCGTAGCCCACAATTCTATAGTGCTCTCAGACTCTGCTTCTCAGGATGGGTTTTTTCCCAGCCCTCCTGGGGCCTCTAGATCTTAATGTTTGGGATCATCCTAATACTGATTACTTTCTCTGGACCACACTTGTGAGTCAGTAACCTGATGGTCTTTCCATTTCTTTACTCTTGTTTGTTTTAGGCCTAAGAGAATATTGGAGCATTTACTTATCTTCTAAATCCAATAATGATAAGGAACTTCCTATTTTCAATTTTCTAGGTTATAAGAAATAGTATTAAACATGGTGCTGTTCTTATTCTCAGGTTGCTCAGTGGGATGGAAACCTCAGACAGGATGTCTGGCAAGGGTGCCAACAGCTCAACCTGAGGGTTGTCAGCCTTTGCTCCCATCAGTCATCTGGGTGAGGAGGGTGAGCCAGGAAAATGGGCTGTGGGTGAGAAGAAGGTTGCTTCCAAGAGGACAGAAAAGACAAGATTTGGAGGCCCAAATAGCACAGCCTGCTAGCAATTAGAACTCAGCAATGTATCATTACACCAATAGCTAACTGTTTACTTTTTATACTATGAAAAGTAACATCGATGCACAAAATGGTGTCATGAGGTCTTGCAAATCTATTGATCAGCTTTAGTTATTTTGTAAAGGGAGAAAAAATAAAATCCATATGTCAGCTTTATGACTTCAAGAGATGACACAGGAATAGAAGAAAAGATCAGGTCCACACAAATGTGGGAATGTGACAAACTGTGGAGATGGCATTGCAGGTCCGTGGGGAAAAGATGGGATACTCAATAGTGTTAGTTAATTATGGGAAAATCAACTTGGATCTGTCCTCCATAACCTACATAAATTCCAGATTGGACTAATGACTTGAATGTAGAAAGTAGATAATTAAATCTTTTAGAAGAAACTGAAAAATAATATATTTATGAATTTTGGGGTAAGAAAGGATTTTTTTAAAATTAAAAATCAGAACCCTTGAAGAAAATGCATCAAAAAATTATGTTTCTTGTATGCTTAGCTGAAAAATTAAGATGAGAAGCTGTAGTCTAAGGAAAAATATTCAAAGTGTATATAATCACTGTATATGAAGAAGCAAATTCCAGAATACCTGAAGAAGTCTTGTAAAGATGAACAATCCATTAGAAAAATTGATTAACTACTTAAGCAGTAAATTATTAGAGGGGGAAATATGAATGGTCAACAAACATTTGAAAATGCATTCCACTTTACAAATAAGCAGGAAATCCAAATTCTAGCATCCAAATTCTCATAAGAGAACTTACTATACATACAAAAGAGGTATTTCTGATATTTTATATCTAAAGTTGGTTGGTTCATTATATTATTCTGTTCATTATTGAACATAATATAATAATATAACTTGTTCATTATATTGTTCTGTATACCTTGTGTGTTTGAAGTGTCATAGATACACTCCTATGTAGATGTAACATTATACTTGTATACACACATATATATTCTAGATGTGTTGGGTTTTATTAAATTAGCTAGCAACTCTTTGCTAGATTTAATTCCCTTCCATGAGTGCCTCAGGAATGGCATTCTATGGCAATGGTGTAATTGAATCTGATTCTTTTCCAGAAATTCAAATTGGTGTAATTCAATAGACCCTGAGTTAGTGGAAAATCCTGGGACCTGAAGCTTCCCCTGTCACCAGTCACTGGGAAGGGGATCCTGGCATGAACTCTCGCTAGACCTCAGGTTCCTCCCTCTCAACTGGAGGCTCCTCTGGAGACGGCCATCCAGCCTCTTGCTTGGCAATTCTGTATTATGGCAGCATTTCTCAGCATGCTGGAAAAAATCCATGAGATGCTAATCAGGATTCCTTGAGAATAGAGCTCTGTTATCAAACAAGTTGGAAGGCATTCATCATTATAAAGCACTATCCTTCAGGGAGTCCCTGCACATGTGCTTGGGGAGGTGGGGAAGGAAGAGAAGCACTTGCTCTTGGGGACAAAAGCCAGGAGGGAGGATTGGGGCACCTCAGGTAACATTCCCCTGTGCTGTCCCACTTCTGGCTCCAGGGGTAGGAGAGTCCTTTATTTGACAGATATTTATTTCATGCCTCTGTGTAGCCAAAGATAATGACAGGAGGAAGGACGTGGAGGCTTTCTGTTCTCCGCTTTCCCAGTCTCTTCTTTGCTAACGCGCTTAAGGTCGAGGCCATGTATTGCTCTGGCCTGTGAGAAAACAAAGCCAGCTGGCTGCACCTGCTTCCCGCCCTGAGCTCTCCAGATGCCATGGAAATCAGGAGAGGCTCACACACAGAAGGGGGCCTTCCTTTGTGAGGCTGGTAAACAACTCCAGCCGGGGTTTTTATTTTCTGCCAAAAGCAAGCGTGCAATGAATAGCTGTGTGTTTTTGGGTCCTTCACTTGGCGCACCCTGGACTTCAGATTCTCATCTTTGGAAAGAAGAGGTTTTATAAGATAGTTTGAATGCACTTCCTTGTTCATGCATTTCTTATGAAATGTATAAATGTGGCTGTTCAGAAACTCCTAGGACTCAGTTGAAAAAGCAGCAGAGAAATACTCAGCAAGGGAGTTGTTTTGTAAGGCATTCATCTAACACAATAGTTATTGGGGACCTACACTGAGTTCAGAGCTGAAGGAGTAGCACTGAGCAAGAACAAAGTCTCTTCTCTGGTAAAGGTTAAATTTGAATGAGTAGAGACAGACAAAATATAAGATGCTACTTGAAAATCAGGCAATAATAGTAAGGAGAATTTAAAAGCAGGATATGTGAAGAAAGAATGCCAGCAAGAGATTTTAATGTACAGGAAATTGAGGGAAGGTCTCTCTGGAAAGGTGGCATTTGAGTAGGAACCTAAGGGGCAGGGGAGCCACTGTCTTCTAGGTAAAGAATATGGCATGCACAGAGGCCCCAGATCAGGGGCATGGCTTGTTCAAGATATAACATGTATCGGTAGGAAAGTGGTTAGATGTGAAGTGAGTTACTGAGAAGTGGTAAACATGTTGAATTCATCCAGAGTAAGTCAAAAGAAAGGAATGAGAAGATGATTAGAGAAAACTCTTCTGCACTGAGGATAGGACTGCATAAATAGCCCATGAAGAGACACAATTGTAGCTTGCCGAAGACTTTGGGGGTAAGATTTTGTTAGACCTCAGGGAAGGACTTGGATTGGTTCAGCTCTAGACAGAGGGATGGGGCTTTTGGAGGGTGCTTCTCTTTGGGAAATGATGCCAAGAGATAAGCAGAGCCCCAGTGTATGTCTGTGGACATGAACTGTGCTATTATAGAGATGAAATATGGTAACTCTAAGAGGTACAAAAGACACAGGGGAACAAGAAGACAAAAGTTAAAAAATTGCTCTCAAAATCATTTCCTGACATATAGTAATTATTGTAATGCTTTTACAAAGAACCTAGGGCTATAATAAACTTTTACTTCTTGTGATGTGATCAATATATAAATGTAAATTATTACTTCCTATGTCCCAGGTGCTGGTTTTCCTAGAATGTTTAAACAAAGACCAAACATACATTTATTTCTGTATCATGTGAAAGAAATGCAGAGTTAGGATATGTTCAATGGCATGTGGTGATTTTGGGGAATTCAGGATTGCTTGTATTTTGCTGTTCTGTTTTTATTTTTGTGCTGTCTCATTCCTTATTTGTGAAGGAAATATCCAGTAAAGGACTATTGATAAAGTACACAAAAAATCTCCTAAAATTTAGCAATAAGAAAATGAAAAACCTGATTTAAAAAATGAGCAAATGCCTCTTTTTTCTCCCCCGAAAACAAAGTTTTGAGATCAAATTTAGAATTAACTTGCTGAAAGGATTTTTTTGCTTAACATTAATCAAATATTAGAAAACCATAAGTAGGGAGTGCAGAGAGAAATGGGCTCATCAAAACTGCAGCAATAAATCCAGGAAGTGTCCAGTGTGGCCTCATCTTCCCCTCTCACACATTTATTCCCAGGTTCACATTAAAAAAAAGAGTTAAGCTGGGAATTTAGTTCAGTGGCATAAGCACCTGCCTTACAATCGCAAGGTTGTGAGTTCAATCCCCAGTACAAAAAAAAAAAAAAAAAAAAAAAAAAAAAAAGTTAAATGAGAAAGTCATAAAGTAAGAGTCTTGCAACATAATAGTAGTATAATTATTGTCCTGTTTCATTATTATATACCTACTATATGCTACCTTCAAACATACAAGATTTTTTGAAACTGGAAATGTTAGGAGCTTATTAAATTTCTGAAGGAGCTAAAATCCATCCACCAAGCTAATGTATTTATTTTTCTAAAGCATTTTTCCCAATTCCTTTTCAACTCTTGTATTTTTCCATTTTCCATAGTAATGAGAAAGAAATAACATTACATGCATGACAATATAATATGAAAGTGAAATTCATTTCTAATTAGTTTACATATCCACTTACATTTTGCTTAAATACAATGTAATTAGGTATTTTTGTCATTTGAAAATTAAGCATAGTCATAATTGTGCCTTCGTTATCTCTAAGTAGGACATTAAAAAACTAACCAGGCATTTTTCTTTAATACATTGAGTTTCAATTTTAGTGTAATATTCTCAATTTCTGTTCTTTATTATTTTCATGCCAGTTTAATGATGTGTGGTTAGCAATTGCACATTGTTTACATTTAGATTTTTCTCTTACTTACAACATACCTATCATTTAAATTTTACTACAGTAACTACAAATTGTGGTTTCTAACACCCTTAAATCAAATGTAATAAGCTCAGATTTAATAGTCCAATTATCATGAAAGCCTGATACCAAAATCATAACGAATTCTAGAAAAATCAATCCATTGTATCAGTTATTTATTGACATGAAACAACCCCAACATATACTGATGTGGCACAGCTATTGTGTTATGATGCTGGGTTCCACGGGCCAGGATTTTGGGGACAATGAAGCAAGAGTTCTCCATCTGTTCCTGGATGTCTGGAATGCCAGCTGAAAGGCTGGAGGATGAAGAGGGTCTGGGTGACTGAGCTGGAATCACTGCACAGGTCTCCACTCATGGGTCTGGTGCACCCACCTGGAGCCTGTCTGGGTAATTTCTCTGATCTGGCAAGTTTAGTGGCTGGATTGCAGTACCTCAGAAGAACCCTTGATAGCTGTGTCATGTTTTAAGACCTAGACTTCTAAACCACACAGTGGCCCTGCTGCCGTAAATACTAAACCTACTCAGGACAGGAATGCAGGATCAGTCTCTTCAGAGGAGGCAGGCCAGGCACCTTGAGGAGGGGTTCATGGAGACACCAGATGGCATTTTTGGAGAGCAATCTGCTGTATAACTATGATATTTTTTACCAATCTTGGAAACTAGAATAATTTGTTAAGTTTTTAGACTTTAGTTTGTTTCAAAGATAGTATTTCTTATAGGACAGTGGAGTAAACCATCTAGTTATTTATGAAATCACTGATAATACAATCTGCAAGTAGCTGGGATCCAGAAAATTAGAAGTAATCAAGAATTTAAAAAAAGACAACATTTCTTCTTAGTGATTTCTAAATCTTTGCGTATCTAAGTCCTGAGCACATTGCCAGAAGAAGATGCTGGATATCTTGTGAGAGAAAAAGAATAATGACTAGTTTTGTAAATCTCTTTGAACAGAGACAAATGATGTGCTAAGCCCAAGGGAGTCAGTTATCTATCAAAGTGTGAGGGGAAAAGGCCACCTGGTCAAACCCGGTTTCTTAACTTTGTTACTTTGTACTGTGTGACTTTGGGTTAGTTATTTAACCTTTCTGAGGCCTAGTTTCCACATATGTGAAATGTGGATAATTTCAGCTGGGAGTATAGGCCTTTAAGAGGATCAAATGAATTCCTCTGTCGGAACATGTTTGGAAACCTACAAGCCATTATGCAGAACAACTGGGATTCATGACAGTGTTTCTTCAGTTTGGGGGAGGCTTAAGTGATGGGACAAAGGTAGAAAACTCAGTACAAGATGAATATTGTGTGTTATGCAAAGGGGAGTTGTAATTCTTTCTATTGGTTTGTGCTGGGAGCAGGAACCCTTGTGGTGTGAGCAGTTCACCATTTTAGATGCAGTAATGCAGATAGAATAAAGATCCACTGAGTTCTTCTCAAGTGTTTAGTGTGATTTCTGCTCTTGATCTCTTCAGTGCATCCCAGGTTTGTGCAAATCTCTGCTAGCTTTGAAACTTGGTAATAAGCTCTGATTCAGTCATTTGAAGAGTAGCATAAAGTTCAACATCTCTAACTTTCAACATGGAATTTGATATTTAAGTAGATTTCTGCTTTGTCACAGATCCTCTCTAGAAAAGGTTAGCCTTCCTCCAGCCCTCCCACACACTCATGGGAGGACTGAAGTTCAGACGGCTGCCTCCTGTCATGAAAGCCACCTCTCTGCAGAGTGCCCTGTCTGACTTCCAACCTTTGTGCTGCTTTTGAAGCTGCAGGAGCTGAGTTTGGAGGATCAGAGTGAGGAAGGCACATGGTCTCTGTTCTTAAGCAAATAGCTTGTCTGTACATCCAAAGTCTCCAGAGATAATTGGTTGTGTAGAAGAACTTTGCTGTGAGAATACAGTGTCATGCTGGGGCTACTCACGGGGGACCTTAAAACAACAGACTACCTTGAAAGTAGAGGGAGGAGAATGAAGAAAGATTGGGAGATCATCCAGCAAGCAGAAAACCAACACCACCTTTTAGGAGAAAGTCACAGGCAAGGTTCATGCATAATTCATATTCAACCTTCTAGGGAAGTGCTGTTGGCTTTGGTCACACAGTGGAACTACCTGGAACTCACCTTCAATGGATCAGTCACAACTCTTACGGGTTAAACCAGGCTTTAGCATGTTTCAAACGGTGACTGCAAGAGTACCTTTGGTGGAGAGGACGTTTTCTTCATAAGTATTAATATCTGGTTGTACAAAGTGGGCTCGTTGGGCTGGCGGCATCACCTGGGGGCTGGATGGAAATACAGAGACCCACATTCACTGTGAGTGGTCACCAGAGAACACAAATACAGAAGAACCTATCTCATCTTTGATATCTGGGATACACTTGTCTCTTGCACAGGCCGTGAGTGGCCTGGGATCTTTAGCCTCTGTACTCTAGGACTTAGGCATGTGGCTTCCTCCCCATGTTCTCAGGCTGCCAGTCTTGATCCAATAGATGCACCATCTACTTCCCTGTCCCTGCAGCTGATGGACAAGTTCTGAGTTGTGCTGCATAACAGCTTCCCTGGAGCTCTAGCCAGCAGGCAGTGGTCCTGGGACACACATGACAATTTCCTAATAAATTCCCTCTCATAGATCTGTGTGTAAAATGGTAGAACCCTGCCACTGTAGACCTGAACTAGAATCTCCATTTCACAGTACTTTCATGTGACTGTGTGCACAGAAGTTTGAGAAGTGTTATTCTAGTGCGTAGTTCTCACAGCTGGCCATGGAGTAGAGCTATTCATGGAAATTCTAAAATACCATGAGCCCACCTCTCACTGTGTCTAGCCAATCTAAGTCAGAACTTCTTGGTGTAAGACTCAAGAAAAATTCTGCAAAGAAGTAGTTATGCCTAGTACTGCTGAGACTTCTTTTGAGAAACAATGCTCTGACTCTCCTATCAGAAGTCTTTCTTTAAAAATAAAACTACAGATTAAATCCCCTACTTACAAAGAACCAATTTTGTGCATTCCCAAATCACGGTGGCAGCAATGAAAAAAATGGAAGGAAAATAATCTGACATAGAATTTTCTACTTTTAATATTTTTTGCCCTAATTTTTATAGTCAAGCCACTGTTAATTTGGAGCAATTTTTAAGTTATTCAGTTTTGATGAGATTTTCCAATGCATTCAACCGAGTTTTATTTTGAAAAGTGAATACAAAAGAAATTTCTTTGCACATGCATTTCACAGTCTTTACATGACATTTGAAGAGCTTACGTGATGTCAGAAACTGGGAAGCTGCCATAGCAAGCTGGGAAACAAACACAGTTGGCTTTTCACAGGTGCTATATTTTGATGTGTAATGTCCCCATAGGTCTATGTAGTAAAGGCTTTGTCCCCAACTGGTGCTCAAGAGAGGAATGAACATTTTAAAAGGTGGGCTTAGTGGGAAATCCTTAGGACACTGGGACATGTCCTTACAGAGGATTAGGAACCTGGGAGTCTTTCTCTTTTTTTATGCCCCTGTCATGTAATGAGTGACTTTGACCCACCATGCACTTCGGCCGTGGTGTACTGTACCACCATTCTCCTGAAATGATGAGACTAACCATGGGTAGAAAGTTCTAGAACTATGAGCCAAAATAACTCCTCTCTTTGTAATTTGATGATCTTAGGTATTTGGTATAGTAAGAAAAATTGACTAATGCATAAAGAAGAGACTTAACTCTTGGAAGCTAAAGGCTTCTGAGAGTTCACTCTTTTGTATCTCATGAAGATGTAAACATAATTCCCCAGCCCCAGTATTTCCCATTTCTGTTTGTGTCTTGTCTCTAATGACAAGAACTACCAGAAATGTCTCCATCATAGAAAAACAAAGCTGCCTACTTATGTCTCACGTACAAATGGGTTGATATTTTGGTCATTAGCTCCCAACAATGTAGGGGAATCCAAGTTTCCAGTATCTTCATTTGCTATTCTCAGGAAAATACACTTTCAACCTAGAAAAATTAACATTCAGCTGGTTAAAAGAGGAGCAAGGAGAAGAGTTGGGGAGTATTCCTTAGGTGTTCCCTGGATGTAAAGATGCTCCAGGACTCTAGTTTAAATTCAATTAGCCATGCTCACATCTAATTTGTACCCCAAGCAAAATCCTAAATTTCTCTCCACGCCTCTTTGGAAATACAGCTTGCCAGTGTCCCTTTGTCTACTGTCCAAACCAACAGCGATGCTTTGCCAATTGCTATGGTTAAGCTATTATGGAAAGCAAATGACACAGTGCCAGAAATAGAAGCCCCAATTAAAAAATGATGCTAAGCTAGATCATTCTTGCCCATGTTTATGCTACATCTGTAAGTGCTGTGCTATCTAAGGAGGGTTAGATGAGAACGCACTGCACACCCCGGGCGGCTACTTCTGTCATCGACACCTCCACTCCAGGGTGTTCCTTGAGCAGTTACAGCTCCACCTGTGGGTTCTAGGAAGAATCGAGACAAGAAAAACATATCATAGGGACTGTGGAACATTTAAGTAAACATGCAGACTACAAGTCTGTATGGATTGGAAACTGCAGACACAATGTATATATCAAGTATAGAGAAGCAAGCTATTTTATCAGGATTATAAGCTACTCAATTCGAGCATATTTTCCTATTGTGTGATTGGGGGAAAGCTTAAGCATTTTTAACTTTTACTTACAACCTGTTTACAACTACTGAAGAAAAGAAATATATATTAGTGAGAACATAAATAGGCTAATTTGCAAGTAAGTTAACTCATCAATCTGTTTAAAATTTTTTTCACATACTTATATGTGAAACTGCTTAATTTAGAAATGAAACTAAGCTACAGTTAATATTCAAAATACTCTTATTGGGCTTCCTAACAGTGAGCTCATGCGTGATTATACTGAATAAATATTTCATATTTTAAGAGAAGTACATTTTATTTCAAGGAAGACATCTTCCTTGGTTTTCTATTTACCATAAAAGTTAAAAAGAGTCAATGCAAAAAATCAGAGAATATAGAAAAATATAAAGCAAAACTGAAAATTACCTGTAATCCTATCACTTGGAAGTGGAATCTTCTTATTATACAGACGCTTAACATTATTATATATTTTTTTGTAGTACTAAGAATTGGACCTAGGGTGTCCTGGTTGCTGGGTGCATACACTCATACACAACACACACACACACACACACACACACACACACACACACACACACACTCTTACATGCACTTCTTAAAATGGATAACACCATTAAAAAACATTTGGTTAATTTTAAATTTTAATCGTTGTTATGGCCTCTATTAGATATTCTCCCAAAACCTCATGGGGTCACAGGTGGAGACTTTCAAAGGTGGCTGGCCTAGGGTTTGTGATGCTGGGATTAACAGTGCCTCATCCTAAATGTGGGTGGCCCCACCCTGCCTGGATGGAATATAAAGGGACAGAAAGAAACTGCTGCTTCTCTGCTTTGCTACCTTCTGCCTGTCCTGTTCGACATGGACCATTTCTTCTGCCATGCCACCCTGTCTTGAAGCCAGTCAGTTATAGATTGAAACCTCTACAAACTGTAAGCTAAACAAACTTTTCTTCACTTAACTTGTAGGTGTCGGGTATTTAGTTTCAGCAACAAAAAGTAACTAAGAAAGCAATATAGTTTGAACAAAAATTTTAGTAAATTTAAATCTAGATTATTTGATATTACCGTATGGCTACCCAAAGTATAAACTGCATTTACTTGCCTAAAAAATTATGTATTTTTGACTCATGTGGATTGTTTCAGTAAGTAATTTTAAAAACTATTTGAGAATATTTCATTTCAAAGCTCATTTTGGAATTTAGAATGTACCTTTCAAAACTTCAAAGAGGTACTTAAAATTCAACTTTGCTTTTCTCTCTTGCTCTGGGTCGTGAGTTTTTTTCACATTTGCATATGTTTCCTTTTCTCTCCCTACATTATATACACATAGAGAATCAGGTCAATATAGTATCAAAGACCAACATTGTACATGCTAGACCTGTGCGATTTTTTTTCTTTCTTTCTTTTCTTTTCTTTCTTTCTTTTTTTTTTTTTTTTAAAGGGAAGTGCATGTAACATTTTGGCCTTCTGGCACTTGTCTCATTCTAACAGAATCTTAAAATTGAATTTTCTAATGAGGACGTGGATACAAGGATATGAATTTCCAAAATGAGGTGCTGGATTACTATAGGCAGCATTTATAGAAAAACTCGATTTTGAATCTTTTGGGTTCCTCTTTCATAGGCTGAACAGAGCACAGTTGAGAGAGGACCTTGTGGTGAGTAGTTTTAGAGAATCACATGCTGCTAGGCAGTGCAGGGATGCTAGAGCTTCCTCATTTCAAGCCTAATTTGGTGAGTAGGGGCTCCATGAGGGTAATTCAAAGAAGTTGGGATGCAGCCCCTGGATTTTGGCTGCCCAGAAAATGGAAGCCTGCCTCCTGCAGGAGAAAGGTGGGAGGTTAGGGGAGAGTGATGTGTCTTCGGTGGGGTTTGCAGGTGGTGCTTGCCCATGGGAAGGGAGTGTGCTCCCTGTCACCTGATCTTAAACTATTTCAGGTCCTCAGGAAGAGAACTGCTTAAAAGGTGTGCTAAGACCTCCAACGGGGAGCATTTGAGCTCTAGCTGTATGTAGAGAGCAGCCAGAGGCAAGCAGTCCTGCATTGTGAGAACTGCCTTTGGAACTACATACAAAGACACCCCAGTGGGTACTTCCAAAAGGGGAGCATGGGCAGGAGTTCTCCTGGCACCAGAGTGCTGCTGTAAGGGAGAAAGCACATCTGTGTGCTGGGACAGGATCTCCCCACAGCCTCTCGCCTCACAGCCTCTGCCCCCTGGTCTGACAGACATCGCAAGCCTAGCTGGGTGGTATCCAGGGACACCAAATCATTGCTATCAAGGATTGGTCATTCAACCTCCAAATAGAGGCTTTCTGTGCTATTTAAAGTAATCATTTCATAATTCATTGGATCTATCCTAGATTTCACCTACAGATAGTGAATTTACCCTTAAAGGGAAATGGTAGGAAAATTAAATTGTGTTCTGAGTTTATACTTTGAATGAAACAATGGCTCCCAACTGAAAACATGGCTGTGCTATAGACCTGGCTGGTAACAATGCTGGTAATTGGTTTGTGTGTGTGTGTGTGTGTGTGTGTGTGTGTGTGTGTGTGTGTACACATTTGGAATCTCCATGTATCATCAGAAAGGCTTCTATCTGCAAGTGTAGAGTGTATTTCTTAAAAGCTACAGTACATGGCATATCCCACCTGAATATTT